AATCACAGAATGGAAGCAAACATGGAGAACCGGTCTTTATACAATAAATTATCATTCTAATCATACAGTTACCTCTGTAATGATACCAATTCACAGTTACCTTTGACTTTTGTCCATATGTTTACAGTTTGATGAGTGAATAGTGTTTTACGCCACAGTCAGGATTACTTCGTCTCGAATATGAGTAAGTGAGTGAGTTTAGTTTTACGCCGCACTCAGCAACATCCCAGCGATACTGAACGTCCTTCCGTGTAATTCCGTTTTTTAACGAGTTATGATTTGGTATCAAAGGGCGAACGTTAAAGCGAGTTTAACAACAATGGTATTTCAGGGAAGCGAATTTGGTATTCTTTTAATTAATCTCCCACATAAATTGATAGAAACTGTCCTACAGTGTGCTGACTCTCAGCTTTCCGCCAGTTAAGTAAGGTTTAATTCCATTGTGACAGAGATACTAACATTGTGATGTCATAACTGTAAACCATTGTGACGTCATACGTCTAGCAGTATTACAGTAGTGTAATATTGCCGTAAAAATATTACACTGCAGTATCTTCCACGGGTGAGTAATAAGGCATGATGTCAAATGTAGGGCAGTCAGCAGTGTCTGTGATGTCTTGAAATTTCTAATCAACAGATGAGACCAGAATACATCGGTATTGCGTCGAGATCTTAGCAATGATCAGGGTATCCTAGGACGTCCTAAAACTACCTAAGCAAGAACAAGCTGATAACGTGATGAAATCTGTTATTATTCTTCGGCATCGTGTAATTCTGCTAAAAAGGAAAAAAATGGCTTCTTTGAACTTTGGTCAACGTTGGAAACCTCAACACAGTGAACATTCCGACTAAAATGAGAACAAAGTTGAACGGTTCTTAAACAAAATAGTTTGTGGTATTCTGTCGTAGCGGATTGTCGATCAATCACCTGCAACTATCGTATAGTTGGATTGTTGTCGTTTATATCGACGGCGTAAAATGACATTCTCTCAAATATGGTTTCAAGCAAAAGGTTTTATCATTAATGTTGCATCAAATGTATCTAGAAAGGTTAATTTGATTGAAAATTGTTGTTTTCACGTTTCTGGTATTGTTATTGATGCAATTTTAAAACATTATGCAAAACGCAGTTGCAGATGATCTAAGATGAGGTTGAATGATTTGAGTGAGTGAGTTTAGTTTTACGCCGCTTTTAGCAATATACCAGCAACATCACTGCGAGAACAAGAACCCATTGGCAACTTACGTGCATGCTCAACAGTTTCGATCAAACACACATTCCTGAAGTTGGCACATTTCTTAATATTGGGCGTGGTCCTTCCGGCTGAGTCTGTATCGTCTACTTCTGCATCTGCAGTGCTGTTCTCAAGTCTAAGGATAATGTCTTTGGCCGATTTCATCAACGTTTTGATTCCCGTTTTACAAAATCCTTCGTTTCCAGTGCTACCACATTGGTAGCAATACAAACCAGCTGAAAAGAAAATATATGAATATAATGATTTGACTAACAAAGATAGATGAAAACCATGAAAAAGAGCGTAGAAAATATATCTGATGCACTATCTTATTTTGACTTTTACGTGTTCCATATGTGTCCCCGTCCGGACACACACACACGCACGCACGCACGCACGCACGCACGCACGCACGCACGCACGCACTCATGGCTTTAAAATGATATTGTTTCCCTGTCTTTGACATACGAAACCATGCAGCTTGGGTTATACTTCTCCTGATGTAACACATTTGAAAGTCTCTTATGATGCATTGATTCCCAACAGTATCTGACCAGAAAGTGGGTGTTTTAAACAAACGGGTTCCGGAACATGGGGATTTCCTTAGACAACAGACAAGTATATATAAAGTAAATGTCACTACATGAAAGGTCATTTGGTCTCCAGATTATTGAAAAGAACTGGGATTAGATCATACTTAAGGGGTAAATCTGCTGTCAATCTGGATGCTGTTACTCTCAAGACCATTCCCGTTTATCACGACTTCATGTGTAAAAAGTATCAGAAACAACTATTCGTTAACCTAAAGATTCGCGTCCCTTTCTTCGTCCCATAATTAACGGGGTTTAAGTGTAATCTAATCTGAGTATAATTCGTTTGCGATTACCCGACAAAATAGATTTCACAGAGCTTAAAAGGCAAAATTGATTGATGATTATTTGAATGTATCATTGTAAATCAGTAATGACATCAGGCGTCTGCGAAACTTGTACCCTTGGACGGCTGAAGCAGAACCTAGATTCTGCTTGCAAGACAGGAAAAAACACAATAAACTGACATGGTAACGGTATGTAAATCGTCGTTATTGTTCTAAATTGTCAATCAAACATAAACAATGATCTTTAGAAAATATGGTCTTGCGTGGTCTTACTGACCAAGACACTATTCCGGTATGGTAACCTGCAACTGGCAAAAGATATAGCAAAATGAAATAGGACACAGCATATCTCCTTGCAGTCCCCATAGCACTAAGAATGGCAACACCCTGTTACCAGCTGAGAGTGAGGCAGTGTTAATGCTGCATTATGTTTACTGAAACAGTCTGCCCCCTGGACATGGGAGGGGGGGGGAGGGAGGGTTACATAGTGGTTGCGGGGGGAAGGGGTTACATAGTGGTTGCTATGGACGTGTTAAAGAAACGACAAATATCAACGTCCATTGAATGGTGGCCAAATATCTTTATCAGCTAGAGCTGTCATCCAATAATTTATTACTTCACCATACAAGAAGGAAGTGCCGATATAAAGTCACCCGTTCATGTTTACCACATTATTATGATTAGGTTAGGATTTACAATGACGTCAGTATGAAATGTTTTTGTTTCGTTTTAGATTGTGACGTCTAAACAATATTATGCTTAGGGGTAAACTAAGTCTGAAATGGAAAGAAAATTCCAATCATGACCTTACCATTCCATTTCACACACACCTGGTATCAGCAATATTTCATAGAGATTCATAAGTACATGCTTAATATATTGTCGGACTAGCAGAGATCTCCAGTTACGGTTATACCACGCGTATACATTAAATGTTCAGACCCACTGTTGATTTTAAACAATCAGAAAGTCATACTTGAATCATTATACTCATGAGTCAACGTGCACTTGCAAACGAAAAAGAACTTTACAACGCAATAGGAGTGTGCTATGTGGTGTTCGCATGAGCCGGTCAAAGGTCAACCAAAGAAGGAAGTACACTGGTTAACCCTCGATGTTACAGTTTAGAGGGTTAAAGTAGACATTGCTAGCTTATCTTCATGGCAAAAGGGGGCGGTGGGGTAGCCTAATGGTTAAAGCGTCGGCTCGTCACGCTGACGACCCAGGTTCGAATCCCCACATGGGCACAATGTGTGAAGCCCATTTATGGTGTCCCCCGCCGTAATATTGCTGGAATATTGCTAAAATCGGCGTAAAACCCAACTCACTCACTCACTCACTCATGGCAAAAGATATATTACTCATTGTCCTAACTGGTATGAATTGAAATATACTTTCATTTATGTTATTTCAGAATTATTCATATGTTCATATATTTAGATATATATGAGTGTTTTAGTGACAAATCGGTCACCTGGAAAACAAAACAAACAAGAACCTCGAAACATATGGAATAGGATTAAATGTTCTCGATGAACCTGTCAACACTGTTTCAGAAAAGTTTCATTGACACATGTAATCTCTACTTAAGGAAAAGTGCTTGTGAATCATTGTCAGATAGTGATGATACCATGTGATCACGAAAAGATAAAAGTCACAAATACATGCAAGGGCAAATCATTTATTCACCTGGGGAAAGCACAAACAATCGAAGAAACTAAACAACAGAAAAAAACAAAAACAAAAAAACAACCAAAAACGACACCCCCAAAAAACCAACCAACCAACCAAACAAACAACCCCCCAACCCCCAAAAAATAAATAAAATAAAATAAAAATAAATAAAAAATAAAAAATAAATAATAAACCAACCCCCTAACTAAATCAAATCCCCTAAAATACAGTGGAACATATGGTCAGGTAAAGACAGGGAGATGCGTGTTCTTATCACTGATGCCGGTAATGTAGTTATGGCCTCAACATAACTATCATAAACTTCTTAAAAGCTTTACTTGAATGTTTTAGCCATGGTCACGCTTAGTAGATTAAACATTGGCTTCAGTTGTATCTCAAAAGCAAATGTTAAATGTGACACAAGGAGGAATACAGGATATGCTCTGCTGGCACACAAAGAGAAACATAGATTGGCTCCTGCGAAACAAGACTCGGTTAGACTTAAATGTTGTCACTGTCTTTCTATAATACCCATAAATCTCTCTTGACCTGTGAAAAAATATTTATCATTGAACATAAGCAATAAGTGCAAGCGTCTGTTCACATTATTCAGATCAGGATGTGATGGAATTGGGTTTAACGTCGTGCTTGAGAATATTTCACTCATATGACGACGTGCATGCGTGTGTATGTATATGTGCGGCTGCTTGTACTAGCTCAGACTTAAGCTGCTTTTATAGTGCTAGCCCACTGAGATACCATGCCGCAGTGAAGCATGAATACCCCACTCAGACACATTATACTGACTCCGAGCCGACCAGTCCTTGTTGTTCCCATTAATGCCGAGCGCCAGGCAGGGACCAACAAGTACCATATTTTAACGTCTTTTGGTATGACGCGGTTTGGGATCGAACCCGCGACCTTCCGCACTCCGGGCGGACGCTCTAACCACTACACCACGGAGGCGGTCAGATCAGGATGTTATACACTAGGCATCAAATGTATTAGAAGAGACATTGCCTCTTGTAATGATGATATTGTGTTATGTAAACACTGTAAAAGTATTGAGGATGAAATCCATATTGTTTATATTTGTAAACGCTATGAGGATATGCGTCGCCGTTACATTCCGAAAAACGGTCCATGGATATTACTATTCTCTCCACAGCATATGTACATCATCAGACATTAACATCATAAATAATTTTGTCAAGTTCTTAGAACATGTTTATTCTGCTCCTGTTAACGTTGTTGTGTGAAAATGGTAACTAAAACCACTATTGTACCACCTTGTACGATGGGTTGTATGGCATTAATACAAAATAAACCCTTCTTCTGTTTCTTCTAAATGTTGTGGTGTTGCTGCAAGAACCTCTGCGAACATACACACACATACACACAAGCGGACACACACACACAATCACACGCATCCACGGACGCACACATACACACTCACATGCTCACTGACACAAGTATCCCCCCACACATGCTCACTGACACAAGAACCCATACACACACATGCTCACTGACACAAGTACCCATACACACATGCTCACTGACACAAAGAGGTACAAACACACATGCTCACTGACACAAGTACCCATACACACACATGCTCACTGACACAAGTACCCATACACACACATGCTCACTGACACAAGTACCCATACACACACATGCTCACTGACACAAGTACCCATGCACACACACATGCTCACTGACACAAGTACCTATACACACACATGCTCACTGACACAAGTACCCATGCACACACACATGCTCACTGACACAAGTACCTATACACAGACATGCTCACTGACACAAGTACCCATACACAGACATGCTCACTGGACACAAGTACCTATACACACACATGCTCACTGACACATGTACCTATACACACACATGCTCACTGACACAAGTACCCATGCACACACACATGCTCACTGACACAAGTACCTATACACACATGCTCACTACCTATACACACATGCTCACTGACACAAGTACCCATACACACATGCTCACTGACACAAGTACCCATACACACACATGTACACATGCTCACTGACATACACATGCTCACACAGACATGCATGCTCACTGGCCACGGTACACACACACATGCTCACTGACACAAGTACCTATACACACACATGCTCACTGACACACACTGTATACATGCTCACTGACACAAGTGCCCATGCACACACACATGCTCCACATGCTCACTGACACAAGTACCCATACACACACATGCTCACTGACACAAGTACCCTATACACACACATGCTCACTGACACAAGTACCCATGCTCCACACACACATGCTCACTGACACACATGCTCACTACACAAAGAGTGCATACACACACATGCTCACTGACACAAGTACCCATACACACACATGCTCACTGACCCATACACACATGCTCACTGGCACAAGTGCCCATACACACATGCACACTGACACAGTGCTCACTGACACTGGACACAAGTACCCATACATACACACATGCTCACTGACACAAGTACCTATACCTCATGACACAAGTACCCACACACATGCTCACTGACACAAGTACCTATACACAGACATGCTCATGCTCACTGACACAAGGAGTACCCATACACTGACACACAGTACACACCCATACACACAGACATGCTCACTGACACAAGTACCTATACACACACATGCTCACTGACACATGTACTTATACACACACATGCTCACTGACACAAGTACCCATGCACACACACATGCTCACTGACACAAGTACCTATACACACACATGCTCACTGACACAAGTACCCATACACACATGCAAACAGAGATGGAAAACAATCCTGACCATCCCCTTTCCATTTTCATATTTCACGACATCAATATATCATTTGGACACTGATCTCTTTTTGACAAATGTCTCAGACACAACCAACCAACTCGACAGGTTGCACCAGTTGACTCCCAGTTCTTTCAGATGTAACAAAGAAAATGTCATATCTCATGGTTTGAAGAATCGGAAGATGCAACTGAATGCTGTTGCTGTCGACAATTAGAAATAACGTTATTTCTGTGTTTCAGTATGAGTACACCATTAATATTTTGTTATAAATTGAAAAGAAATCACATTTTAAACTGCGACTATTACATATGATAGATGCTTGAACATGACACTGCTTCCATGCTGAATACTATTACAAGACATATGTTACTGCTTCTCTACTGGATTAAAAGGGTTAAAGGATCATATTTGCTTGCGCTAAAACTGAACACAAAAATCACATTCATACAAGCCTGTATGACATCATGCAATATCATCCCAATTTCCAAACACACCAGACATTATGCAATTACTTCATGCATTAGGTATATTACATCTATATACATCTATATACATAAATTACTGAAGATCAGGGTTAGAATTGGCTTACACCAACCCATGCTTGTCGAAAGAGACGACTAACGGAATCGGGTGGTCAGGCTTGCTGGCTTGGTTGATAAATGTCATCGAATCGCAATTGCGTTGTCGAAGCTCATGATGCCAAGCACAAAATTGTCTGGTCCACCAGATGCGATTAATTACAGACCGCCACCATACAGCTGGAATACTGCTGATTGAGGCGTCAACATATCTTTATACATATGGGCATTGTCCTGGAATAATTCGCCAGCATTTCATAATTTGGGATTGTTAGTGAGTGCGTTTGGTTTTACGTCGTTTTTTAGCAATAATCCAGCAATATAACGGCGGGGACACCAGATATGGACTTCACACATTGTACCCATGTTGGGAATCAAACCCGGGTCTTCAGCGTGGCGAGCAAACGCTTTAACCACTGGGCTACCGGACCGCCTCCGCGATTGTTATGGCAGATTAGAGGCACACAGAATCATGAGCTCATACTGGATACAGTAGACTACAGTTATAATGAACACATAGGGACCACAAATTTTAGTTCGTTATAACCGTTGTTCGGTATACACATTTCGTGATTCTTCGGAATACTAAAACAATATTCATGGTGCACGTACATGTGGTAATTGCAAATTTACACAAATTAATGAATATATTCTGTAGCATGTATATGATCTTTATAACTTAGTTTAAATTGTCGATGCTTCTCGCGGCCAGGGATTCTAGTTTCCTTGGTTATTCATAGTAATACACGCTTATACTCGAAAGGATCAAAGGCCAGTATCAGACTCAGCGAGACCTGATGGCTGCAAGACACATTGTCTGGATTGAAATAACTTCCAGTTTTACGGATTATCCGAATGGAGGTGTCCCGTGAATAGCGTGTCGGGATCCGGATTGATAGGGTATTCACTATAGTAGAATCCGTGCAACAGCTGAGTAATTGCAACATCTTTTAGCTTGTGATACTTCGACGTCACTACAAAAACATGAATCTGATGATACTCCAAAGGAACGCAAGAGGAACCCATATTGTTGGCATGGTGGCATCGGCCTTTGGTCCATTGCAGAAGTTTTCTGAGCAGGTTGTGATACAGCTCATGTATCCTCGGGTGTCGTAGCCGCAGGTTGTGTAGTTGTTGCTCTGAATACCTTGCAGCATGGTAAGGTTTCCGAACGAAAACGTCTTCCCATCGGAACAATCCCGGATGTAGCTGAGAACTTGAGATGTTTCTGAAATCACACATTGAAAACAAACATGGAGAACCGGTCTTTCACAAAATGCCCGTCACACCTTATCTATAGATATTCCGAACTTTTCTTAACAAGAAAAACATGGCTTAATTAATATTTATAGAATATATTATTATTCTTATTATTATAGTCCGTTTGGCTCAAAAGCGGACCGATGAATTGCAATCTAACTCGAAGACTAATAAACATATAATACTCAATGAAACGATGATCATAATCAAAACATCATACCAACTCTGTGATGTGTTTGCAGAATTTATGTCCTAAAATTTAAAAAGTTGTTTAACAAACTATTATTAAAATTTTGACACTGTTCACTATTTGTTACGAGGGAGGAGTGCAGAGAAAGGGACAGCCAGGTGTTAGAGAAGCACGTGCACAAGTACAGACAAAGTTATTGATTCATTAACCTGTGCTGTGCCGTCTCCATCGTTTTAATGATAGTTTGTTGAACAAATTTTTTAGGACATAATTTCTGCAAAAAAACTCACAGAGTTGGTCTGACGTTTTGATTATGATCAGTGTTTCATTGAGTATTTTATGTTTATTAGTTTTCGAGTCAGATTGCAATTCATCGGTCCGCTTTTGAGCCTTTCTGCTGACAGAACTGACCAGGGGATACTTGTACGTACCAAAACGTGATCAAATCTGTTACGAAACAATGCTGCATACCATTTTTTTGTTATGCTAAACAACATTGGCTTCGATGATCTTTGGTTTGAACCAATGACTCAGCGAGTTGCACTATTGTTATACAAAAGAATCAGCTTGGTCACATTTTTTCATTGTTCCAGAACGGATCGATCGTTACTGATCTGCCATCGCCACATATTACAGAATGTTGTCGATTACACATATGTCGTAAAATAATATTATCTCACTTACCGAACAGAATTCAAATAATGGGTATTATCACCAATTTTGAATCAGTTGTATTTGAATTTTGAAGCTTTCATGTTTTCTAATATTATTATGGACGAAAGGTAAAACATTTTGCAAAGCAACTGCAGATTATCTCTTATGAGTTGAATGATTTGAAATAAGTTTGAAGAGTATTTCAGTTACATCACAGCTCGTCAGCTTACTGTTGGGGAAAGTAAGAAATGATGCCTGGCCTTAGGCATTTACCATTTTAATGAAACCCACGAGCACTGGTCTTGGTGGGATGATGACACAACCAAGAAAAAATAATGGGATTCGAATACGCAATCATTGGTTCATTGCAAAACAGCGAATTGCAGCTCTGAGGCCGTACTCAGTTGACTGTGTTCTCTATTGGTGATATGCATTGGAGATCTATGAATGAATATTTACCAATGAATGCGAACAATTCCACAACTTACGTGCATTCTCAACAGTTTCGATTAAACACACATTCCTGAAGTTGGCACATTTCTTAATATTGGGCGTAGTCCTTCCGGATGAGTCTGTATCGTCTACTGTTGCATCTGCAGTGCTGTTCTGAAGTCTAAGGACAATGTCGTCGGCCGATTTTATCAACGTTTTGATTTCCGTTTTACAAAATCCTTCGTTTCCAGTGCTACCACATTGGTAGCAATACAAACCGGCTGAAAGGAAATATGTAAACATTATGATTTGACCAATTAAGAGAGAGAAAAGCCTTAAAAAGGGAGGCCAAAATACATCTGATGCAATACACTGTTATGACTTTTACGAGTACACCATGTATCCCCGTGCGCGCGCGCGCGCACACACACACACACACACACACACACACACACACACAGACAGACAGACAGACAGACATACACACCGACACACATAGACATACAGAGACAGACAGTCACACACACGCACACACATGAATTTAAAATATTATCGTTTCAGTGGCTCTAAATACAACATGCAGTTTGCGTCATCCCTCTCGTCGAACACATTCGGCAGTCCCTCGTTATGCAGTGATTCCTAACAGTATCTGACCAGATTGTGGGATTTAATAAGACATTAGTGCATATAAACTAATTTGCATTACATGAAAGGTCAGTTGAATCTCAAGACTATTGAAAGGAACTGTGATTAGGTCATCCTTAAGGGGTGAATGAATATACGATTAATCCCAAGACGATTACTGGTTATCATGACATCAAGTAACATCTATTCGTTAAATCAAAATTCGTTTCTCTTTCTGTTTCCACAAGTAATTGGTTTAGTGTAAACTATTCCAAAGATAATCCGTCAACGATTACCCGACAAAATTCACAGAGCGTAAAAGGCAAAATTGAGTGGAAAGTATTTGAATGTATCACTGAATAGCAGTGGTGATATCAGGCGTCCGCGAAACGGGTATGCATGTCGGCCCACAAGAACTTAAATACTGCTTGCAAGACAAGAAATGGGACGACCACTTAATTGACACCATAAATCACTTTTTGTCTCTATATCAATCAAACATAACCAATGATATTTGGAATTTATCCAATTACTTTTCAACTTTTTTACTGAGCAAGAACTCTTCGTTATGACTAAATAACATAATATAGTTACCTGCAGCTGGCAAAATAAATAGCAAGATGAAATAGGACACAGAATATCTCCTTGTAGCCCCCATAGCACGAGGACTGGCAAGACGCTGTTTCTAGTTGACAGTGAGGTAGTGTTCATACTGCATGCATTAGTGTTTGCTGATAACATTCGTGCACCCCTGACAGGGGGCGGGGGTTCAGAGGGGTGGTTGCTATTGACATTTTAAAGACACGAGGACTATTGACGTGCAGTGACTGGAGGCCTAATTTCTTTATCAGCTAGGGCTGTCATCCAATAGTTTATTTCTTCACCATACAAGAAGGAAGAACCGATATAAAGTCACTCGTTCATATTTACCACATTATTATGATTTGATAAGGATTAACAATGGCGTCATTATGAAGTGTATTGATAGAGTTTTAGATTGTGACGTTTAAACAATATTATGCTAAGGGGTAAAATAAATCTGAAATCGAAAGAAACAATTATGACTATCCATTTATGACCTTACCATATCATTTTGACCTGGTATCATCACTATTTGACAGAGGTTCATACGTACATGCTTATGATATGGTCGGACGAATAGAGATCTCCTGTGATCATGGACATTTTGTTACCGCATTTTCTGTCTTATATAGGGTTCCCTTTACACGAACGCAAACTGACATCTCCAGTTACGGTTATGACACGTGTACACATTAAATGTTTAAGACCCACTATTGATTTTAAACAAACATACTTGAATCATTATACTCATGAGTCAACGTGCACTTGCAAACGAAAAAGAACTTTACAACGCAATAGGAGTGTGCTATATGGTGTTCGCATGAGCCGGTCAAAGGTCAACCAAAGAAGGAAGTACACTGGTTAACCCACACTGTTTCAGAAAAGTTTCATTGACACATGTAATCTCCACTTAAGGAAAAGTGCGTGTCAACCATTGTCACATAGTGATGATACCATGTGATCACGAAAAGATAAACGTCACAAACACACACAAAATAGAAGAATCTTAAGCACCACCATTTCCATTTTCATTTTTCACGATGTTCCACATATCATTTCGACACTGATCTCTTTTGACAAATGTCTCAGACACAACCGACAGCAACTGGTCAGATTGCCAATGCTCACTGTCAGTTCCTTCAGTATGTAACACAGTAAATGTCATATCTCATGGTTTGAAGAATCGGAAGATGCAGCCTTATGCTGTTGTCGTTGACAGTTAGAAATCATGTTATGTCGGTGTTTCAGTATGAGTAATTCACTTTGAAAAGAAATGTTTTGTCATAAAATTGAAAAAAGGATCACATATTAAAAAGCGACTATTACATATGATAGATGCTTAACCATAACACCGCTTCCTTGCTGAATACTATTACTAGGCATATTTTTCTGCTTCTCTACTGGGTTAAAAGGGTTAAAGGCTAATATTTGCCTGCGCTAAAACTGAACACAAAACTGACAATCATACAAGATCGTTGTTCGTTATACACATGTCCTGATTCTTCGGAATACTTAAAAATATTTACGGTGCATGTACATGTGGTAGTTGCAAATATACACACATTAACGAATTTATTTTGTTGCTTTGAAATGGTCTTTAAAATAGTTTAAATTGTCATTGTTTCTCACTGCCATGAATTCCGTTTTACTAGGCTTTGGAATACCCTTATACTCTGAAGAACCATTGGTTAATATCAGACTCAGAGAGACCTAACGGCTGCAAGGCATTGAAATAACTTCCAGATTTACGAATTATCCGATTGGAGGTGTCCTCCGAATAGTGTTTCGGGATCCGGATTGATAGTATGTAGTAGATTCCGTTGAATTCGGAATCTTGTGATGATGTGACGCCATCACAAAATCATGATTCTGCTGATACACCAAAGGAACGCAAGAGGGACCGATATTGTTAACGTGGTGGCATCGGCCTTTGGTCCATTGCAGAAGTTTTCTGAGCAGATTGTGATACAACTCAGGTATTCTTTGGTGTCGTAGCCGCAGGTTGTGTAGTTGTCGTGCTGAATACCCTGCAGCATGGGCAGCTGTCCGTATGAGAAGTTTTTTCCATCGGAACAATCCCGGATGTAGCTGAGAACTTGAGATGTCTCTAAAATCACACAATGAAAACAAACATGGAGAACCGGTCTTTCACAAAATGCCCGTCACACCTTATCTATAGATATTCCGACCTTTTCTTAACAAGAAAAAACATGGTTCAATATTTATAGAATAGATTATCCTTTTAATCATACATGTACATCTGTACTGATCTCAATTAAGAGGGACCTTTGACTTTTGTTCATATGATTGCAACTGAATTAGTGAATGGTGTTTTAAGTCACAGTCAAAAATATTCCGACTCGAATATGAATAATTGAAACTAAAATATGCAGCAAGTGGTCAGGGCCAAAAACAGTTCGTTATATCCACCAGTTCGTTATAAGGGTGGTCTTTATAAACGTAGTTTACTGTGATGGCAGGATAGTATCTGTGGCACCTTTTGGCAGCAAACGCTCACAGTTTCGCGAACACCTCGTATCATCACTGGCAGTGATTCATAAGCGTATGTTTAAGGAATGGTAGAAATCGTTCAATGGACAATGGAGCCTTTTTGAGAAATGAGTATGTCGCTTAACTTTGCTCAATTTAACTTTAATTTAATTTGGCATGGTGTCCAATGTAAGACAGGTCTGTTTTGTCTGTGATCGATCTCATATGGTACTGATTAAATTTTGAAATTGGAAACCATCAATGTGCCAGTAGATATGAGCATGAGTAACAGATTTTAACAAGGATCGGCCAAACGGCTTATGCAATAAGGTGATCAAATCTGTTATTAAACAATGTTGTATAACATTTTTTGGTTTTGCTAAACAACATTGGCTTCAATGAACTTTGGTTTGAACTCACGAATCAGTTTTGTCACGTTTTGTGTTATCATACCTGAACGGATCGTCCATTAACTGATCTACCATCGTCACGTAGTAAAGGATGCTGCCAATTACATATTCGTCGTAAAATAATATTTTCTCACTGACCGAACGTAATTTCAAATGAGAGGTATTGTTGAATGTTGAATCAATTGTATTTCAATTTTGTAGCTTTAATGTTGATGGGTGCAAGGTAAAGCATTATGCAAAACGCAACTGCAGATTATCTTCAATGAGGTTGAACGGTTTGAAAATGTTTGAACAGTATTTCAGTTACACCACGGCTAGCCAGCTTACTGTTGGGGGAAAGTAAGAAATGATGCGCGTCTTAGACATTTTCCATTATAATGAAATCCACGAGCTTTGGTATGACGATGACACAAAGAAGAAAACTAATTGAGATTCGAATACGCTATCATCGGTTCATCGCAATACAGCAACTTGCAGCTCTGAGTCCGTACTCAGTAGGCTGTGAGGGGGTGTGTGGTAGCCTAATGGTTAAAGCGTTGGCTCGTCACACTGAAGACCCGGGTTCGAATCCCCACATGGGTACAATGTGTGAAGCCCATTTCTGGTGTCCCCCGCCGTGATGTTGCTGGAATATTGCTAAAAGCGGCGTAAAACCAAACTCAGTCAGTCAGTCAGTTGACTGTGTTCTCTATTGATGATGTTGATATGCAGTGGAGATCTATGAATGAACATTTATCATTGAATGCAATGAAATTCGCAACTTACGAGCATTCTGAACAGTTTCGATTAAACACACATTCTTGAAGTTGGCACATTTCTTAATATAGGGCGTGGTCCTTCCGGATGAGTCTGTATCGTCTACTTCTGCATCTGAAGTGCTGTTCTCAAGTCTAAGGATAATGTCTTTGGCCGATTCTGTCAACTTTTTGATTCCCGTTTTACAAAATCCTTCGTTTCCAGTGCTACCACATTGGTAGCAATACAAACCAGCTAAAAGAAAATATGTAAACATTATGATTTGACCAATTAAGAGAGAGAAAAGCCTTAAAAAGGGGAGGCAAAATACATCTGATGCAATACACTATTATGACTTTTACGAGTACACCATGTACCCCCGTGCGCGAGCACACACACACACATAGACGCACACACAGACAGACAGATAGACTGACACGCACACACATGATTTTATAATAATATCGTTTCAGTGCTTCTATAATATAACGACATGCAGTTGGCGTCATCCTTCTGGTCGAACACATTTGACAGTCGCTCATTATGCATTGATTCCTAGCAGTATCTGAGCAGAAAGCGTGTGTTTTCACACATAAGGGGTCCGTAATATAGGGATTTAATAAGACATTAGCGCATATAAACTAATTGTCATTACATGAAAGGTCATTTGATCTCAAGACTATTTTACAGGAACTGTGATTAGGTCATCCTTAAGGGGTGAATATACTGTAAATTCGGAGGTTGTTAATTCCAACATTACCGGTTATCACAACATCATCTGTAAAATTTACCAGTAACAAGTATTTGTTAACCTGACATTGGTTTCTCTTTCTGTTTCCACAAGAAACTGGGTTTAAGTGTAAACTATTCAAAATATATCCGTCAACGATTACCCGACAAATTTCCACAGAACATAAAAGGCAAAATTGAGTGGAATTCTTTTGAATGTATCACTGAATAGCAGTGGTGACATCAGGCGTCCGCGAAACGGTTATGTATGTCGGCCCACAAGAACTTAGATACTACTTGCAAGACAAGAAATGAGACGGCCAATAAATTGAGATGATGGCGGTATGTAATCACCGTTATTTTTCTCTTTTGTCAATCAAATATAATCAATGATCTTTTCAAAATACACACTTCATTGTAACCTTTGCCTACCCATTTGCTTTTTCAACATGGTATTAATGACCCAGACACTATTTTGGTATGATTAATTAACATAATATAGTTACCTGCAGCTGGCAAAATAAATAGCAAGATGAAATAGGACACAGAATGTCTCCTTGTAGCCCCCATAGCACGAAGACTGGCAACACCCTGTTTCCAGTTGACAGTGAGGTAGTACTGCTTTATGTTTGCTGATAACATTCGTGGACCCCTGGCATGGGGGCGGTAATTCAGAGGGTGGTTGCTATTGACATTTTAAAGACACAACGACTATTTACGTGCAATTACTAGTGGCCTAATTTTTTTATGAGCTGGGGCTGTTATCCAATACTTTACCATACAAGAAGGAAAAACCGATATAAAGTCACTCGTTCGAAGTTTCATTTTTATTACATGATTGAATGATAATTATAACGTTATTATAATTAGATACGGATTTATAACGACGTCATTATGAAATGTATTTTTTCGTTTTATATCTTGACGTCTAAACAATAAGGGGCAAACGAAATCTGAAATAGAAAGACAATTTTTTGTTCGCAAGTCATGAATAGTAGTTCATGATCCAATGCTGTCATTTCACAAACACCTGATATTCATAAGTACATGCTTATATATGGTATGGTCTGATCTTAGCAGAGATCTATGACAATGGAAATAATTTTATCGCATTTCATATGGTTGCTTTTACACGAAAGCAAACTGCCACCTCCAATTACATTTATGCTACGTACATTCATTCAGTTTAAGACCCACTGTTGTTCTGAAACAATAGGAAAGTCATACTTGAATCATTATACTCATTATTCAACGTGCAGTTCCAAACAAAAAGAACCTTACAACGCAATAGGAGTGTGCGATATCGTGTTCGCACGAGCAAGTCAAAGGTCAACCAAAGAAGGAAGTACACTGGTTCACCCTGGAAATTACAGAATAGACGATTTAAGGGACATTGCTAGCTTATCTTTATGGCAACAAACATAAATATAATTTAAAATGTACTTACTTTTATCTTATCTTAAGATTATCTTCATGCTTATATCTTTAGGGGATAACTGTACTGTGTTTGACGAATTGGAGACGTATACCGGTGGTTATATAGCTGCAAATTTAACGTTATATCGGCTCCGCTTACGGCTATATAACCACCGGTATACGTCCCCAATTCGTCAAACACAGTACAGTTATCCCCATTCTAATTTTTTACGCTGGTTTTTGTGTGTGAAAGAAATTCATTATTTCAACCAGGTCAAAGTTTCTCTAGGTCAAAGGTTAATCATATGACTCCTTGAACTTACACCATCGCCAGAAAAAGTAGCTCCCTTTTCAAACTTCAACATGTTTATTATGTGCACACTGACTACATCTGACAATGATGAATAAATTATAGTGTTATAGCTTAAATGGACGGAATTATCATGAAAGCGCCATATAGTTATCAGAAATGCAACGGTGATTCCTCGTCACAGCAGGTGACGTCACGCTCCATAATGACATCATAAATCTTGTTTCATGATCGAACAGTGTTGGGTCAACAGCCCGTTCCGAGTAAGATGTTTGAACTTACAAGTAAATTTATGATACTGTGTTGTCTTTTTTAACACAAATTCCAACCATTTTAGCGAGATAGGGGAGTTAATTGGCCTAGGGCTTCTGCAAATGACAATGCCCTGAAAAATAGCGTTACTCCAATACATTCAAAGGTTCTGGTGAATCGGTTTTCAAATTGCAACCGTATATGCTGATTGTACGGTCGAAAATTTATAGCATTGACCAATCAGAACTCGTGTTTCATACTAAGTTGAATTAGAATTTGATGTATATGACTGTTCTTAGTGATAAATCGGTCACTTGAAAAAACAACAACCCAAGAACGTGAAAACATATGGAATATGATAAAATTCTCCCGCCGAACCTTTTCAACGCTGGGTAAAACAACTTTCACATGTATATCTATTATGAAATATCTAATGCAAGAAAGGGTATTGTGAATTATTGTCAGATATTGATGACACCATGAGTTAACGAAAATGTGAACGTCA